CTACATAGCTACAGGCCTATTGATTAGACCACTTTCATTTAAGAAAGTTTACTTCCTTAGCTCTCTCCTAGGAGATGTCTCCAGATGGCTGCTCACAACTGGACTTAAACTTATGTAGTGATCTGCCTCAGTGGGATCCTGTGTCTGTGCTGACTTTCAAGAGGAATTGAGGAGACAAGTCCCCTTAAAATTAGCATTTATAAATATCCTGCCCCCTAGTGCACACTAATTTTCACAAAGAAGGGTTGCATGCTATAAGTTTATACTTATGCTTTCCAGCACTAATTTGCCCATCTTAAACAGGCCACAAAACTTCTTTCATTTTATATTTTAAAAATTCATCATAATTATCTTAATATAAACTAAAAACATTATATAGATGCAATATAAGCAATTTTTAGAGTGATTACTTCTAGGAAAATCTAGTTCAATGCTCAGCAAAGAACTGACTGTTCTTGACACAGTTAAAAAACACATAAGCTGATTAAAAATACTATCTACTGATTCTTTGCCTAAGGCTCAGAAACAATGTTTTTCAGTTCAGTATCTTTGAGCTGAAATTGGTAGAAAGAAACACTTCAGTAAAGTTGAAATATGCAAAGTAAAAATTGTTAAATGCTAAGAAGGCAATCAAGGAAGGATACTAAATTAAAATGGAAAGAAATAAAAATAGACTCAGCCTGACAAAGCCTGGAGGTAACTGTAAATGGAAAGAACAAGGAAGTGGTGTGTATAAGTCTACCAAATAGATGAGATACCAAAAGTGGCATGAAGAAATAAGAACTTTCATTCAGAACATTAAAACCCTCTGCTAGTGATGTCCTTTGAAAAGCACCTAAAACTCTTATCCTTGTCAGCTTGTAAATGAAACGCTTTAGAAGTCCAAGATGCAGAAAGATGGATGCTGAAAGGCAAATAGCTGAATCTCTAAAGACAAATAATTAATTCTCCATGTAGATTAGATGCAGGAAGTATGTGAGAAAAAAGATATACCAAAGAACAAAGCAATTAAAGAAAATAGAAACTTCTCTAAAAATCAAACCTGTTTCATTAAAATTCAGGATGTTGTATAACTGCCTCCTCTTTTCTATTAAGATGATATATTACAAGCCAAATATTTGGGACATGTCTAAACTGCATCAAAACATAATAGAACTTTGACCATGACAGCATAATGCAAATGATTATATCTCATTAAAATTTGTCACTCTTACAAGTAAGCTGAAGAACGACAAACTGAATGCTAGCTAGAGTATCAAAGGTTGATTGCAAGGCATCTGAAGACCTCATTCAAAGACCAGTTGCTTGAAGCATTTATTGATAATATGTAAAGCAGAATGATTATCAGCAGGGCCAAATCTGAGACTGCACAAAGCTACTCTTGTTTAATGGGAGGAAACCAAAAAACTTCAGCGTAACATCCAGGACTAAGTAAACTAAGCCTGAGCAGGAGATAAAATCCAATTGAAATCAATCCTTTTGAGTTGAACTATTCATGGGCCTGATGAGAAAGTTCACCAACTCTATGTTCAGAAAGGTGGCTTGTTATTGTTATGTCCCAAGGGAGTCCTTGCATGGACAAACTCACCCCAAATGCTTGTATCAGGGTGCCTAAAGACAGTGACATTACAAAACTTCAGTAACTAGACATACAAATGAACCCCAGGACATTCATAACAGCACCTTCCTGCATGGAATCTCTGATGTCTGTCTAGGATGAAGTCACACTCCTGCAAGGATACTAATAATGACACTCATTTTTGTTTATATTTTTGAGACTCACATTCCTTCAAAGTGATTGAAGTGGGCCTTAGGACTCAAAAATTACTGAGGAGACCTCAAAATCCTATATGAAATATGATTACCTAAGACTGTTTCTTTAAGAAACCAAACAGTGCTATTGTGACAAAGAAAATAGGAATCATTCCATAATTTTCAGGGAGCATCTGGACAATGCTCTTCATCATATGGTTTAGTTTTAGGTAGTTCCACAAGGAAAAGAACTTTTGATTTGGTGATCTCTATGGGTCCCTGCCAACTCAAGATATTTTATGATTTTATGATTTTAAGTACTGTATTCTGATTGTCTCTTCCCTAGCACTCTTCCCAAGACTCAGTGATTTGCAAGGTAAAGATGACGTGTGGAAAATAAGTGTTTAAAAAACATACTTTCTCTAGAGGTGAATAGACATGAAAGGACATGATAAAAGTACAAATGAATTCTAAGAGGAAGTAGTAAGATCAGGATTTTTTCCCCTTCTCTACTAACAGAATTCTAAAGTACATTTTCAAAGTAACTGAATGACTTTATATTGAAACATAAGATTTGCTTTCAGAACTCCCTGTCATGAGTTGTAACTATATCTGAAACTATTGTGATTTTTTAAAAAAAGGTATAGCATTTCAAAGAGAACAAAACTATGTGCCTTACAAAAACAATCCCCTCAAAAAAACACAAACCAAGAAACATCCAAAGAAACAGCATATGGAAAGAGAGAAATAACTAATATAAAAAGCATAAACCAGCTTCTAAATGTGAGAAGGACGAAGTTTAGCAGAACTATGCTGTCAAAAAGCAAAAATTCACTATTTCTACAATGTGTCAATGTGCCAAAATGCCAAGATTCATCTTGAGGCTCCCAGCAAATATATGCTGCCTTATACTCATTTTACTTTCTACAGTGGTGGGAGGTACTCTCTTGAAGTATTATATTTTTAAGACAGGGCAATTGTTTCAAGAAAGGTAGTCATAAACTGCACCTTCCAGTTGACATTGCTTCCCAAGAAACAGCAGCACACAAACAGAAGCACACAACAGGTACACTCACAAATTGCACTTTAGTAATCACAGGGACCCTACCTATTACTGTTACACTCTTCTTTAAAGTCTCTGCAATTTCCTCTTTAATCATTCTGAATACTCAAGCACAGCACAGTTTTAAAATCAGCCCAGTCCTCTGTTTTGACCTAATACTAAATACCTAGAAGCTGTTTTAACCAGGAGATCAGAATCCTTCTGAAAAACGGTACTTCTCAGAACCTTTCCCTGACTGCAGAAGACACAATTACAAGTCTCAACAAGGCACTAAGGAAAGCTTGTAGGTCCGTCCTTAACTACACCTCAGGGAAGCACAATCTGAACTAAGAGGACACCTAAATAGCAAATCTTCCTCACATAGCTGAAAGAAACCATGAGATTTTTTTTTTTTTAATTTGAAAAAGAATCCTTGCAGGCTGAACAGAAAAACTAAGACTTTCTGGCTCTTCTGCTATCTCCAAACTACTTCTTCCATGAACAAACAACTGACCTTGCTCCAAAAGCTGGCGTCTGCCTGAAGGCTGGTACCTTCTGCCTTCTGACAGCACACAGCCACTGCAGAGGGAGCAAGCACAGTAGGGCAGCCATGTCCCTGGCTTCAGTGCCGTGACACATCCTAGGCTTATCTATTTCTGTGTGCACACATGTGATCTTGTGTTATACTACAGTGCTTCCCCTTTATTACGTGGCTCTGTATTTAATGGCTGTAAAGACTCCAGAAATAACAGCATTATAAGTTTAACAGAGCTTATTAGATGTCTGGTTGACATATAATGGATGAAATTCAGTAATAAAATTAAAATGAAATCAAAGTAAGGAGGATATTTGAACTTCTTAAATCATTTAAGCTCTCGCAAATAACTATATAAATGGAAGTCCATTTTTATTTCTAAGGCATAATCTATGAAGTACTCTGGGCTGAGGACCTGTGCTTTCTATGAGACACTGCCAGTAGTTGCAGTAATCAATTGGTTACACAAATTCATGCCTAAACTCCTAGAATTCTATTGCATCTCTACTAAGCATCTAAGTTAATCTTCTGCTTTCCTTGGAAAGAAGGGAACACACGAGTCTTTTTTCTGTTATGACTTGAATATCTAGTGCAAATCAGAACATAGCACTCCATCAAAGGATAACCCACTCAGCTAAGAATAGGTCTTGCTCAACCCTAGCACCTTGTGAAGCAGAAGGTTTCTTTCTCCTTGGGGTGCTTGAGAACTGTTTATCAAGAAGGAGGTTTAGATGCAAAATGTCCACATGCTTTAGATCTCACTTGAAAGACTGCATCAAGGAGAAGTGAGTTTGGACTGAAAAAATGTGGATGCTATTTATTTCAAAGGCCTAAACAAATATTTTCTTTAGGCTGCTGCACAGTCTGAGGACAAAATAGCTAGACAGTAGAGGAGCATAATTTATGTTGAAGAGTTATTTCTCAGCTATGGAGGTTTTAAGGACAGCTGGCAAATAAGATAGATTTGATGAAGTTCTGCTTTGTTCAGGGGGAAAACACATTTTCAGCATCTTGTTAAATGTAATTTGAAACAAGATGTGTGACGTTTTCTGGCACAGAAATTCGTATCATTTCCCATCAAATGGTTCTTGTCAAATTAGGCTGCTTGGAGTTATAGGCAAGGAACATTTCTCTCATTTTCTCTTCCTTAGGGAATCTAGCAGAATATAAGTGCAAAAACATAGTCATCAATTTATGATATGGATCCTACTTTGCCTCCAATAACCTCTCTGAAAAGCTACCATCATTTCTGTTTTAAGGAGTGCTCTCTGTGAAGAATGAATTTTACCCTCTAGCTTCCTATTATCACAGAAGGTTTTATGCCATACTGCCAATATTCATATTTTCCATTTTTCTGATTTTTTTCGATGAAGGATAAAAATGTAAATATTGAAACATTTTCTCTATTTTGTACAAACAAAACCAATGAAGAACGCTGATGGACTGCATGAAGGGGGAAGAAAAGTATGTTTAAAAATAGCACCTACACTTCTTTCCTAAACAATTAAAAAGATTGGTTTTTATCTAGAATATTAATAAAAGATTGAAGCTTTCAAAATTCATGACATGTGGGGCCAAATCAGTCTATTACAGATTTCTAGCATGCATAACTGATGTAGCATTTTCCAGAAGGAAATGTAAATTAAATTGAAATAACAAGGTTGTACTTACTGTAGCTAATTCATCAAATTTTCCAAAAAGCTCATTCAGCAGCTTCACCAGCTCTTGGGCAGTACACTGTGATGCCAAACTAGTGAACCCCACAATGTCTGCAAACAAAATGCTGTAAAGAAGGAAAGAGACACAGATAAATCAGTAGAGAAGATATCTTCACATTCTCGTTATTCTCTTTCATAGCACAAATGTGACCCAAAGCACAAACTCCAAAAACTCCTGAAATATTATCAATAAAGTGCCAGTTATAAAAAAAAAAATGGAAAAGATTCAGAAAAATAGGCATTAGTCTGGTGCTGTAAACTGTTGTAGAGAACTCTCAGATGCTTTCAACGGCTACAAACCTACCTGGCACATGAAGAAAAGCACCTCATTCATAGAGTGCCCAATGAGTACTCTAGGAGCACAGTGAACAATTTATTCTCTTTGCAGCTAGGACATCAGCTAAATTGGTTTCAGAGACAATTTTGCACTGCTGGAGCTCCACAGCCAAAGAGATAAACCTTGCATGGGTTTTACCATGTACTGAAAGATAGGGGTTAATAACTTAGCTGCAGTAGCTCTGTGATGTGGTCTTACAGCAGCTCCCTGTGAGGAGCTAAAATCCACAATGTCAAGCCAGTATTCTCTGCACTGTTCTGCCTGGCTCAGGTAAGTGTCCAGCTTTCATCAGTATTATCAAGGTTTTAATGTTCAACAGTTTTATCTGCTTTAACAATCCTGGCTAGTCAGTGATGATCAAGGAAGATTATTGAAGTGCAGGTACCATTATGATCGAGAGAATAAAAATTCTTGTGTAAATCAGAAAACTTAAAGAGTGTGGTGCTGTGATCCTTTCAACTCTTTAGACTCCTTCTGTTGGTAGAAGAGCAGAATCAGGAACACACTGCATTTATCTCCAACACCCAGACTAGAAATGTCAAAAAAGTAATGAAAGCACAATAAACCATCCCATGATATATAGCCTAGGTATACTTGACATAGTGTAAAACTTAGTTGGCTAATTGTAAGTTGAATTAAACATTATGTACTCCCATTCACCTCAACAAAACTTCACTCTTTAGATTAAAGAGCAATGCTAGAAAAGCAAGCCTAATCAATCTGTTTTCCACTCTTTATAAGCAAGTCTCAGTGCTCTGAATATGTTACAAAAAAAAAGCCAAATACAACTCCTGACTCAGACCATGCTTCTATAATTTCATTTAACCCAGTTGTTTAAATCCCTTGTCCATCAATAAGTAGCATATCCCAGCACAAAACCACCTCATCCAAAGTTCAATGACTTTGGTCTACAAACAAAGCCTCTACGTTGTCATGTTAATCCTTGGGGCAGTGTCTCCATCAGTACTTCTTGGAGAATGCATTATGAGAACATTGCTCAAGATGGCCCTGGTTCAAGGAAAAAAATAGTTATTCCATTTCTATGCCATTTAAACATAACAAAAAGGCTTCTTACAATAAAAAAGTCAGCATTTAGTTAATTTTACTGATTCAGGTCTCTGCTATTATAAAAGTGGACCAGTCAAGTGATGGGTAATGTAAAATGCATTAACAGAGATCAATAACACCAGCAAAGTGACCTGCATATTTGGCCCATGAAAGCAGCTGTGGAAAAGCTGCAAGGCACAGCAAGAACTTCCACATTGCAAACAGATTTTCCTTTGCTGGGCAGCTGATTCTCTGTGACATTGAAACCATGAGAGAACTGTTTCTTGTGGAGAAGCCTCCATGGCATGGCAAGAGAGACTCCTCTCCCTAAGTGAACTGAAGAAAGACTATTTTAGAGGAGGTAAACTGACTGAAAGTCCCAGGCTTAGTCTCTTTACATTGTCAGAGGGAAAGAAAAGAGGGTGTGGGAGGAGGAGAAGTGTACTGAAGGTTTATTCTGATTTTCTTATTATTTTTCTTTAAATTCTGCTAATAGTTTTCTTTACACCCTTTAAAGTTTGAGCCTGCTTTGCTTTCCTCCTAATCCTTATCTCGCAGCAGAAAATGAGTAAATAATTCTAGTGACTGCACTGGCATTTGACCAGCATTAGACCCACTACATTAATTGGTGCCTTGGCCAGGAAACTCAGACTGGTGAACCAAAATCGCTACACCTAATCAGTGTTTCCACCTGGGTTTCCAACTGCCAGACCCATCTGTGTCCATCTATAGTCTTTTCCCACACTACTTGTACTACAAGTATGTGGGGCAGCACTAACACATACTCTCGTTGTACAAAGTCTAAAAGAAATTAGAGCAGCATCTTGGTCTGTGACGTGGAGTCAAATTACCCAACTGAGGCAATAAACTTTTTTATGTTCTGCTCTGGTTTTTGGAAAGTAAAGGACAAGAAGTTCTTTATGAGAAGATGGAAAAGTCAGTCACAGAGAAGGAGAACAGAGGAGAGATTTGAATTTTTGCTACGGCCATGAAATCATAATGGTACTAAAGAGAAATTTATAAGATATACAGTGCCAGAATTCCAGTCATAAACCTGAGCTGTTTCCAGGGCCAAATATTTTCAAATATTCTCAAAGTCCAAGTCCCCACATTGTCACTGAAATTCCCTTTCCTCTGTTTTGGATATATTATTCACACAAAAATACTGAAAGCTTTAAATTTAGGCCATGCCTAACATGCTCAGAAAAGCTAAAACAAAGCAGCTACAGGAGTGACATCAGAGTTAGAGCATATTAATCACTCCAGCAGATACACTCATTCAAGAGCAAAGTAGTCTTGCTTCACAGTAACATAATCTGTAATTGATGTGGAGGTCCACATCCTCAGAGAGGATTAAACAAGAGTAAACTAAGGCTACCTTATTTATGCATGAAAGATTCCTCATAATGGTATGGTATGCAAAGGAACACTGCATAATGATTGCCAGGTAATTTTATTTTTAAAAGTGTAAATGCTGGCATATATAGAAGGAAGAAGTAAGAAGCTACCAATTAACAATTGTTACTCTTAATGACCATTCTGGGATGTAACTGTCCCTTCTTTAATTCTGCACAATTAAACAATTCCACAGAATTAATAATGCCATTGGGCACTTTGGTGGAAAACTAAAAAAACCCCAATCTCCTTTAATTATTCTTTAATTATTAATGAAAGAAGATAAATGAAAGTGGAAGGAAATTGGAAACAAAGGACCAATGTGACTTCTGCTCACTCAGCAGCACAGCTTGCACATGACTCAAGCACTGCTCTTCCCTACAAGTGATGTGAATGTGTAGGTAGCTATCACAGTGCTGTGGCTGGTGTTACCTCATTGCCCAGGGGCTCAGCAATGCTCCACAATCTCACATGGCACAGAAACGAGACTGACTAGACTGTAGTTCTCCAGATTTTCTGCTTTCCCCTTTCTAAAAATGAGGGTTATATTTCCCTATTTCTAGTTATTAGGGACTTCACCTCACTGCCATGACATTTCAAATGTGATAGTGGCTTAGCAACTTCATTTGTCAGTTCCCTCAGAGCTCACAGATGAATCTACTCAGGTCCCACGGACTTGCACACATTCAGGCTCCTTAAATGGTCTTGAACCTGATCCTCTCCTGCTGTGGGCTCAAGGTGTTCATTCTCTCAGTCCCAGCATTTGGTTATTTTCACCAGGGTGGCATGGCTGGGGCACTTGCTGTTGAAGAATGAGGTGTAAAAGTTGTTGAGAACCTCAGCCTTCTCTTTGTCTAGGGTAGCCAGGTCTCCTATTTCCTATCAGAGAGAGTCCAAGAGATCCCTAGTCTTTCTTTTGCTTGCAACGTATCTATAGAAGCCCTTTCTGCTACCCTCAATATCCATGGTCAGACTCAATTCTATCTGGGCCTTGGCTTCCCTAACCTTGTCCCTACCTTCCTGTACAATTTTCCTGTTTTCTTCCCAGGCCATCTGTCCTCATTTCCACTTCCTGAAAGCTTCTTTTTTTTTTTTTTCTCTGGGTTTTCTCAGCAGGTCCTTATCCATCCACCTCCTAGCATTTTTGCCTGATTTCCTCCTTGTTGGATGTACGAATTTGGCCATAACAGAACCCCCAAACTCAACCAGCCTAGAAGTAAATGAGTCCCAGGGTGAAACAGGGGTAGGCTGGATTCGAACTCAAACAGGGGACCCCAGCCAATTCCATTCAATCCTGAATGATGTATAGTTGGCCAGTGAACTGGGCAGTGTTGAAATCTCGACCAATCAGGTGTTCCAAGTGCAGGAATTTTGAACCCCCTATTAAAGAGGGTGTGCATCAATAAATCTAGGCTGTGTTGCATGATCCTCAGGGTGATCTGTCATGTGCCTGTCTCCAGAACTGCGACCCAAATATAACAATTCCCCGCCAATGGGATTGACACAGCTGCTGCACATAGAGTGGGGGAGACAGAAGACAGACGTGGAGAGTCTGTCTGCAGAGAAAAAAGCTGCCAAAAACAACAAGAAGAGCCAAAAAGCAGAGTGGAGAGCCGCCAGAAGTCTGGACTCTCTTTGTACATACCCCTGTAAATAGAAGAAAAAAGGTTCCAAGAAACATGAGAAGATGAGTTTCGGCGAAGGAAAACCCAGTTGTTAAGGCATGGATCCTCTTTTTACTTCAGTGAGGGATAAAGTACGAGTAACAGGCTCTGGAAGCCACTATGGTCGTTATAAAACCCTGGGGGCTTGTTTCAGACCGGCTGGAGCAGCTGGAAGGGATGGCAGGGATGGCAGTGGAGATGCCACGGGCACTGCCCAGCAGGGACGGAGAGTGGAGCAGAGTGGCAGAGGGAGCAGATGCAGTCTCAGGCGTGGGGGCAGAGAGGACGGGTGAGAAGCCAAGGAGGGGACAGCTGTTATTTGAGCTCCCCGAGCCCTGCTGGCCATGGGCAGGGCAGGGAGCAGCAGAGAAGAGAGGGGCACTCCTAATCCACCAGTGATAATTAACAAACTTATATTTTCTGTCTCAAAGCTTTGTACACATATTCATCCCCACAATACCACTATAATTAAATACAACTGACACACAGGTTTGCATAAATATTATTTTTCCAAATATATTGGAGAATAGTAGAGCAAAATAAAACATTGATTGCAGTGTCTAAAGACAGTGCATGTGGTTAAATATTCCCTTTGTATTCACAGCTTTAAATTATAACGAGC